CCCCCCCCGCAGTCTCCGACCGTCGACGGGGTCGGCCGCCAATTTTTCCCCCTACTCTCCGCTTCGATTAATATCTTGTAAGCTTAATGAAAATATCTCGCGCGCGTGTATTCTGTGATAATTATCCCTTAAAGAACACACCCACATCCCACATCTACACGCACAAAAAGATACACACATACACACACACACACACATACACCCATTTCTACTTCTCTGTAATCATTAAAAATGTCCGAGCAGTCTCGTCGGGATAAAGATAATTATCGGAGATGCGTGATAGAGTGATCCAGGCTCGCCTCACTTCCTCTCATCTGCCGATCCTGTGACCAATTCGGAGCCGGGATTATTATTACCCCTTTATAGCGCGAATTCGATCCTTTTCCACAACTTTTTCATGTTACCGTACGTATCTAAGCCTCGAATGAAGAGACTACGCTGTTGAAAGTAAAGTCCATTTCGAATTGAATAAAGATCCAGACTCTCTGTCGTCTTATCTATTATTATTATTATCATCATTTGTCAAAACTCCTAGATTCTCGACCGGCCGTCGCGAACTCGAAAAGTAACTTTTCGCTAACCTCGACGTTCCTTGGCCGGAACGTCTGAAGTAGTTCCGCTCGAATTGATCGGAGAGTCCGTGGATGGAGCGCGCGGGGAAACCTGGGACACCCTGCGGACCGCGATAACACGGAGATAATAACGTGATAAAGGAGCGCGAATCGTAACGCTTTGATCGGCGACCGATTTTACCAGCCGCGAAGACTACCGAGAGGAAGATCGTACCGAGGAAGATGCTCGAAGGGTCTTCGGCAGGGACGAGTTCGTTTTACCTCGTGCGCCGAAGAGAGAGAGAGAGAGAAGGGAAGATCGTCCCCGAGAGATCGCCGTGAACTCTCGCCGGCGAAGGCGAGAACGGAATCAACTCCCGGACTCCGACATACCAACCGCCGTGTAACGGCCGAGAGACGCGTTTCAGCAGGAAGTGGCAGAGCGGAAAATCGCTTGACGAGGACACTAAGGTGGTAAAAGAAAGAGGAGAGGAAATAAAAACGATTAAAAAATAAAAACGAAAAAATAGACGAGACAAACACAACCGTTGACAATACTATGCTTGAGAATCGTGTGAGGCGCGCGTGTGTAATGTACCTAATGAACATAGAGAACTACAGACGGGACACTTCGCGTTTCGTAGGAGTAAAAAGCGCGCTAAGAGCGAAAACTCGCGATTAACGCGGCGGGGCGTCACTTCGCCGCGTGTTTACCGAGTGTGATTACGCGATAATCGAGCTGAGAGAAGCCGAGAGCGCGGTTGCAGTCGTCGACAATTTCTCAAGCGAGCTGAGAGACAAGGAAGAGGGTGAGGGAGATTCACACAGGGTGCGATGACGATTTCAAAGCGCGACGGCGAAGACCCGAAGCAATCGTATCCGAGTATCAAACACGCACATTCGACACAAAGAGATAACTACCCGTTTACCGTGAGCCAGATCTCCGTTAGCGTACGTTTCGTTCGTTCAACTCGCGCGACGAATTATTCTCCGGCGAACTGGATGCGTAAATACATGTACACGACACCCACTCACACACACATGTACACACACGATCAAAGCTCCGAACGCGCGCGTCATCAACGTTCCTCATCTCGAAAACAACGGATCATCGCTGCATCATCATCGCGTCGCACGAGCGCCGTTCAGGTTTGGATTCAGGTTCCAAGCTTCAGGCTCAGGTATCGTCCCCGCCTGGATCGTCTCGCGCGACTCCACGTCGAGCGATCGTGCGAGCCGGGGGCGAGCGCGTTGCCTCGCGCGAAACCCCGACGATCCTGGATGGCATCGGTGTACTTCAAGCAAGACGCAATCATCGGCCACGGAGGACTCGCATCGACCACACCGTTCGACTAGGCAGATAGACTTGATTATCCATTGTACACGCGATTCGCGTCCTCACCGCAGGATACTACCGCGCGTCGTTCATTAGTAGCCACGTAATACCGCACCGTAGAATGAAAGAGTCGGAGGCGGCGAGTCTCTTTCTCTCGGGTCAATAATCGAATTCGTTTTCGTTCACGCTAGATGTATATCACTTCTGTAAAGGCATAAACGGTCCGTTGATCGTCTCGCGATCTCAGCGAGCACCGAACGCGATTTAGATATCTCTCGGGTGACCAATACGGCACGACGAGATCCGCGCTCTGGCCGCAGCTCGCTCCGCTGAATCCTCGCGATCTGAGTCTCACCTCGGTGTTAGTGAAACTGAAGTTGAAGGTAAAGCCCACGAACGCTGCGTTCAGCGGCGAATGTTCGTGGCCAGAACGCGAATCTGCACTCGTCATTTGTATTTATTCGATGGGTTTGTACATAGAGAGATAATTAATCGAGTGAAGTTGTTGAGAGAGAGAGAGAGAGAGAGAGAGAGTGCGATGTATAGAGCGGGAGAAAAATAGATAGGGTCGTGATGAGAGAAATGATCGCATGCATGCGAGTGTTGAGTGAGAGCGAAAGG